CAGCTGAATCTTCAGTACATTCTTCTACTTTAATTAATCAATCACCACATAGCCTAATCGGTACCACAGAAAAATTGTCTGAACAGAAAAAGCTCAATGAAGTAAAACCTAACTACTGAATATATGAATCTAGTCTTGATTTGTTTAAAGAATCTTATGGACCAACAAAACCACTAATGGTTAAGGTGAACAATGAAAGGGATACGGAAGCCTCAGGACCCAGTATGCAGACTGAGAAAGTTTCACTGGTTCAGAATTACCTGGTGAAAAGACTGGAGAGGGTGGAGGAGCTGCTTGTACTCTAGGATTGAGTGTAACGTGTACTGGAGCCTTTGGAGTTACTACATGAATTCTTATTAGTTGAGCAACCTGGTGCTTAGAGCCCCTGAAAAAAACCCAACAACAGTAGTATTAATAATATAACACTAGGGAACTTAATAAGCTACATTCTACAAAACTGATAAGTAATAAATAATGAGACGATTATATCTTTGTAAACCATGCTACACCCTACTTGGTTTTAATACATGCAAAAAATATGCATTCCAACCAACTATAATTAAATAAAGTCACCACTTGTATATTATATAAGTCTGTAAAAGAACAGAACACTATATATTAAACTAGAAAGTAAACAAACCAAAAACAAAATAAATACCATTTTTAAAGTTTTTTCTTTCAATAATAAAAAAAAAAGAAGCTTAAAACTACCTACCTACAAGGACAGGGAAAGTACAATGGCATATCATTCCCTGTTATTTTGTTGGCATTGTCCTGAAATTTCAATAAAACTTCATTCAATATTGGAACCAACAAAAACAGTTCAATAAAGCACAAAACAAATTTGTACGAAACCAACACAGCTTTAAAACATCAAAACTTGATAACATTTTCATTGATGAAGTAAAAAAACTTTGAAAAGTAGAGCTTAGAGAATATCCCGTTTTAAATTCTATTTGATATTTGTATATAATCTAATTTAAAATTATCAGTTTTCTAATTATATCGTTTTGAAATACGTGAAAACAAGAAACAGAAACAAGTTTCTTAATTAACAAATTTTGTAAAATTTATAATAAACAACTAATAACAGAATATAACTAAGAGCAGATCAATATAAGTATAAAATAACCAGTTATGACCTGCTGGAGTGCAAAAGCACTGAACGCAGGTAATCTAATTTTTTGGCATGTTTAAGTTCTAACGGATGGACTTCTAACTTCTGATGTCACTCTCCAATTATGAAATGCGCTAATGCTAGTGACACAGAAAATCAGCTATAAAGATGAAACAAAAATGTCATTAGTGGTAAAGGGAAGTAAGTCTATGGATAATGAAGCTTTTCGACACCGTAATTAGTTTCACTTAAATAGTTGCTGCAATCAAGTGTTACCTTGACCAGGCCAGAGCTGGTGGCACGCAAAACTTTGTCAGGTGCTGAACACATAAATCTATGGCCTCTTGGACATTCGTATTCTACTCCAATAAATATCTTTACAGTGAATTGTGAGCCATCTGCAAAGAAAACTGATTTTTGTAAGTTCAAAATATAACGAAAAAAAAATACAGAAAACTTTACAAACCTAGAACAATTGTCATATACTATAACATCCCCATATATGCTAAGAAAAAATAATTAGATATTCAGAATTAATACAGCCACTGTATATTTATAATAACTTAGAACACACAAAACCTGAAATACAAACCTTTTCCACCTTTCTTGGTTTTCCAAGTATGAGGTCGTTTTCCATCCCAGACAGTGGGCCAGCGATCCTTGTGTTCTAACTTAACTGTCACATCCCAGGGCAGGAGAAAGTTTGTACCAGGTATAAAACCAGGCTGTTCTTGAATACCTACACCATCCACAAAAAATCATTAACAATTTGTTAAACATTATATCTAATTACCAGAACAACACTAATCTCAGTGTATGTCAGGTCCTTGTGTTCTAACTTAACTGTCACATCCCAGGGCAGGAGAAAGTTTGTACCAGGTATAAAACCAGGCTGTTCTTGAATACCTACACCAACCAACAAAAATCATTAACAATTTGTTAAACATTATATCTAATTACCAGAACAACACTAATCTCAGAGTATGTCAGGTAAAAGGGATAATAAATCATAAAATCAGTATATATATAAAAAAAGGAGTTTAATATTTCATTTAAATAGTTTTCTACTAACCAATATTATGGGAATAAAGGCTAGATGGTCCAAGACAGATCAGTGACCAAGAAGGGAACATGGGAAGCAGGCCAAGAGGACTCTCGGAATGTAACATGCCTGGAAGGTACTCTGTTGTTGAAGGTTGACGCAGCACTCCGAGTTTTTCTCCTCCTGAAAGATAGATGAAAGCTTTCAAATTATAAACAAATCAAATCTCTATTTTACAAACAGTATGATAATAATTACTTGAAAACTTACGTATGTCTACAGTTTGGCTTATGTAAACTGAACTCACAAATAAATGCATGTGGGTCATCTTTACCTATAAAACCACCAGATGGTCTCTCTCCAACAGAGTTTTCATGAAATTCAGTCTGTATTGCAGTAACAAACAGTAACTTTGATATTATATAAGCTGGACAGTACAAGGCATTAAATGGTAACTAATATTTGACAGTTTTACTGTTAAAATATTGTCATTTAGTAAAGATATAGGTTTAAGTCTTCTTGATTTCATGATTTAATTTTACAGACTTAAAATAAGACTGAACAAGTCTTCCCAAAGTTCTCCGTTTGTTTCTTATGGATTTTTTTTAGCCTTTCAATGACAGCTTTCTTTTAATGAAATATTCATCTAATCATTTTAGTAGAATAAGAAACGTATTTCAGTGGCTAAACAACCAATAATTTACCATGCTATCACCAGCTACATATTCTAACTCTGAATACAACAGAAGTATCTATAAAATATTGCCCCATAAATTAGGTCTGAAAGTTTGTGCATCTTTAGGATTGGGTTTGCTACTAGATGTACTAGATATTTTAAAACTTATTTTAGCAACTAATACCCTTTTACTGTTATACAACAAAAATTTGCCCTTTTTTACTGAACAAAAAAAGACTGTGCTCTTTGGACCTGCTAATACAAAAAGAGCAAGAAGCTGTACAGCCTGAAATCAGACAAAACAGTATAACTACATTAATTTTTTCTGCAATGTTATAATTGAATCTTGTACATCAATGTTATAATACAAGTTTAAAATGAACTCTTTTACACTGCTGAAACCAACAATTAGTGAGCAATATTATATTTTCTCTTTTACTTATTTACCTGCAAATCTATTTTTGAGTTGTTTTATAATTAGTAAACTGATAAATTATTTACCAGTACACTTTTCTGGGCTTTCTGTGACTTTTGATTCTCTGAGGCTAATTATTACTTCCTGGTCACTGGTTTGTCTAGGGCTCTCCTCAGAGCCTTGACTTAATTCAACAGCTGATTCTTCCGTTGGAAACATGTCACTACTACCAGGCTGGCCTGAAAATAAGATACACCAGAAAGTTTAAGATTACCACCAGGTATAACTTTACTAAGAAGTTTACCAATACATATGAAAAAAAAAGTATAGGGGTTAAAAATGCTAGAACTCATTCTAATTGTTTGCCAGTTCAAATTTACTTTGTTGCCTATCTATGTTTTCCTTTAGAATTACTTCAAGATTCTTCTTAGCCTCTTTAAAGATTGTTTCTACAAGATCTTCATCTTATTGGACAATCAAGAAATAAAACCACCTGATTCTCTAGTTTTGGTTCAATGCATGGAGTGAAGCCAATTAGTAAGATGCTTAAGTTATAGTAGAGGAAGTTTAACAGTAAGAAATATGTAATTCTTACAGTAAAGCAGAGGCTTAATACCTAAAAGAGAAGATCACAGGATGTATATTTAGTCTGTCGTAATTCCTACATGAGCAAAAAACAAGTCAATCATTTCTAATATGCTAACAATCCTTCCAAAATTAATGCAAGTCTGCCAAAAAGAAGTTTGTGATTCTATAACTTGACAAAAAAATGAAAGATTACTTAAATTGCCATTCTAAAAATCTTACCAAATGACAGAGCTAAACTCATACTAGTGGTGGTCACTTGGCTTTCTCCTCTTCCAGGTTGAGATTCATGCCGTTTTCTTCGAGTTTCTTCACTTTGTTGATGAGCCTGAACAGGCGAGATTTGAGCTGGTCGCGACACCCCCGTTGTTGATGTGAATACAGGAAACTTTATTCTTTCCAACTTTCCACAACAATCATCATGCAGTGATGAGTAGAAGCTGTAATTGGCTGCCTATTTAATGAAGACAATGTACTGGAACTTATTTGAATCAATAGTTAACTTGATGAAATTTTCAAGCATGTGCACTAAAACTTTGTGATTTTTTTTATTAATTATCTCTAGTTTTCACATAATGATAATATAAAATAAGTTTTTTGTGAGAACACGATAAAGAAATATTCGCTTTTATTTTATAAAATTATCCTTTATATATCTGTGATATTTCATGATGTTCAAAACTTTTCAGGACTGAAAACTCTATGAAGCTCCAAACAGACAGAGTGAGAAAGAGTACAATATTTATTCTATATCTGTATAAAGCCCCAAACAGACCCAGAAGATGGTAGAGTGAGAAAGATTACTTATTCTATGTTCTCCTGACAGTCATTAATATCTATTGCCATAGACAGAAAGAAACATTGGAAAAAAAAAAAAAGAGTTCTGGTGAAAAAAAACAGTGCTTACTGACATGCTAAAACCAAAAATTAATACTTGCATAACAGTTATTAATACTTGGTGTAATGGACTAAAAAAAAAAATAACTGTGAGAATAAGGCACTGAGAATGAAAGCTGAAATGCCTGGGACTACACTGAACAATAAATTTCTTTAGGGCAGAGATTCAAGTACAAATAACCAAGAAATACTCAAGATAAGGTCACTAAACACTACAGTCAACTATATGAAAGGAAAAAGATACAACCTTGTGAATGATGGAGCACTAAAAATTGATTGTTTTTTTAAAGTTTTGGTGATACCAGTAAGGTTAGTCAAGAGAACAGAACATTTTTACAAGTGGTTAATAATATGATACATCAAGATGTATATTACCTTACTTAAAAAGTAATTTCACACATTTATTGAGAGAAAAATCAAGAGAAAAACCTATGAGAGGAGTTAACGGCTTACTACCAATTACCATACCTCACTAAAAGTAGGCAATTCCAGCAGAGAGAGAAATAAAAGTTTTTCTTAATTCAGCTGAATGGAAACATCCCAGTTATAAAAAAAAAGTCAAATATCAAATAGTCTAAAACCAGGTTTTTTTTGTAGGAATTATGAATCCATTATTTTATATTAAATGGACTAACTCACTCCATTTGTAAAAATAACCGTTTCATATTTAATTTGTGTTTTATTTCTAAACAGTTGACATGTTCACAACCATATTTTGAGAACATAATATCAAAGATCAGGCCATAAAATGTACATTGCAGCCTTCAAATTCCACTTCAAATAGCTGAGCAACGTTAAAGACTTGAATACATGTTACCACAATCATCTACATGACAAGATACACAGAAATACTTAGAATAACAAGATGCTGGAAAGAACACTACAAATTCATTTTTTTTTTGCACAACTTGTCTGTAATGTGTGAAGATAAAAGGTATATAAATTGAAGTATGATGTTTAGGTGACAAAAGTAATGTAATATCGCAAATACTTATGAAATTCTAACATACATCCTACTGTTACCGTGCCAACTCTGGTGAAAATGTATATGCCTGTCATTCTTAGCCCACTGTATAAAAAAAATTATAAAAACTTTGTAACATATGAATGAATACATTTGTTTTAAAACCAGCATTAATTCATATCAATTACTTGGAAGACAATCTCTACGGATAAACGCAAGTCGTCCTTTACTGACCTTATACACTTAGTCAACCTATTCAGCTTATTTACTTAGTTCAGATGCCACAAACTAAAATATCCAACTCTTAAAAAGAAGAAATGTGATCACTTCTGACCTTCACTTCAAAGGGATCTTCTCGACTAGCTTGTCTTCTCCCGCAATCACAAGCTGAGAGCATTTTCACTTGGCTGCAGTGAGGCATGATGGGGAGGGTTTTATCGTCAACATCCTCATCATCTTCTGATGCTCGATGGAGCTGTAAGATGAAAAAAACTAACATAACACAAACACAAAATAACATGTGTGATATAATATCACAGTAAGTATTATAACAATTTTAAATCGCCTTATTGGTTGTATAATTTGTAAGTTCAAGTTGGCCTCATGAGCTCTGCTTATGAGTGATAAGCCTAACTGGGGGCAGTGCTTAATACGTACATGACCAGCAAAGTATTATGATAATAGTTTTCTTCTTCTGTTTCATTTCAAATCAAATTCACACCTGTTACCAATTAAAGTATTATACTTTGCCAACTTATGCATTACACATCAATAGACTTAAAACATAGTCACGTGTTAAATGTATTTTTCAATAAACAAAACACTGTTTGTTAACAATTCGTGTAACATAAAATATATTTTAATAATATGTCCATCAGTATTAGTGTCTCACCTATACGAGTGGAATATTTAACCATTGGATTAACTTTTCCATGTTATGTAATGCCAGTTCACGTTTGTTTTCTGAATTATGTAGAATAACTAACACTGAATACTTTAAAAAATAGCCTACAGTACAAAGAAAATTGTTTGTTTGTTTTTGAATTTTGCGCAAAGCTACACGAGGACTATCTGCGCTAGACATCCCTAAGTTAGCAGTGTAAGACTAGAGGGAAGGCAGCTAGTCATCACCACCCACTGCCAACTCTTGGGCTACTCTTTTACCAACGAATAGTGGGATTGACCGTCACATTATAACTCCCCAACGGCTGAAAGGGCGAGCATGTTTGGTGTGACGGGGATTCGAACCCGCGATCCGCAGATTGCGAGTCGAGATCCTTAGCCACCTGGCCATTACAAAGAAAAAAAAATATATAAACTATTAAACTTGTGGTATACATTTTACCCACTACTGTTTCTGTTGTTTCAAGTTTTAGGAAAATGGCAAAATTGCAAGTGTGTTCTTCTCTCTCAAAACCTAATAGTTTGAAATTTGTATGAGCTTGCTAAATAAATAATTAGTGAACAAAATATCTATACTAGAGGAATAATAATTTTTCAGTCTTTATTTTTCCATACCATATGACAAGAAGTAAGCAAAAGTAGAAATGTAACGAACAGTTAAATTAGATTTTTAGCCATAGTGTAAATTAAATCATACACATGGTCTTGGTACAAAAGAGGTTGGGTTTACAGTGTATGAAATATATTTAGATACTGTTGAATCCACTCAGGGTTTCACTGACTAATTACCACTCCATTCATATACAGACTAGTAAACATTCACTGATTAATTACCACTCCATTCACATACAGACTAATAAACATTTACTGATTAATTACCACTCCATTCATATACAGACTAATAAACATTCACTGATTAATTACCACTCCATTCACATACAGACTAATAAACATTTACTGATTAATTACCACTCCATTCACATACAGACTAATAAACATTTACTGATTAATTACCACTCCATTCATATACAGACTAATAAACACTCCATTCATATACAGACTAGTAAACATTCACTGATTAATTACCACTCCATTCATATACAGACTAGTAAACATTCACTGATTAATTACCACTTCATTCATATACAGACTAATAAACATTCACCGATTAATTACCCCTCCATTCATATACAAACAAATAACATTCACTGATTAATTACCACTCCATTCATATACAGACTAGTAAACATTCACTGATTAATTACCACTCCATTCATATACAGACTAGTAAACATTCACTGATTAATTACCACTTCAT